TTTTGATTGCTAATCATCTAAATGCTTGTTCTGGTCATTTACCTGAGTGACCAGACGGACAGACAGGTGGATTAGAGGGTATATAAGAAAAAGCAACTTTATTTTAGTGAACCAGCACTTGTAATCGCTTTTGAAATGTTTAAATTGATCTTCATTTTAAGCATTCTAGGCATTGCCCTTGCATATGAGTCCTACGGCTCTCGATCGGGCAGTTATGGTTCAGGTGGCTCAAGGAGGGGATCATACGGCCGAGTGATACCTCTTGCAGTGCAATCACGACGATCGATTAAATTTATTACCGTGCCAACTTCTTACGACAACTATGAACCACTAACTTTGGAAATACCGTCCAGTAGTCAACCGCTTACTTTGCTTATGAACACCAAAAGCAGCCCTTTGGTAAGATTTGCTTAGTCATTGCAAAGTACAACTTTAAAAATGATATGTTTTTTTCCAACTGTAGAACATTCAAACGTCTCACCAGCCTGGTCGTGGTTCCTATGTGGAAACGAGCTCAGTTGATGAGCCACACATTCGCAGGCACACAGTGCACCGGCCAGTCCACCAGTATGTAACCGAAATTTTCACACCGTATCGAAAGGTCCGCATGGAAGTGCAGCCACTGCAGGAAGAGCGAGAACAGGTGGTGGCTCGTAAAGCATATGGCTCAAACTCGGGTGGTTACTCTTCCAGTGGCTACTCTCAACGATCTGGAGGTCATCGTCGGTACTAAAACTACTTTGTTTATGTGCGTACTGAAACGAAAGTGTTTTTGTGCATTTTAAATTGAAATAAAAAAGTGTAAACTGAATTAATTTAATTACGCTGAAGAAGTTTTTCTTGTGCTGGAATTCCCCAAACTCGCTCTGACCAGTTTTGACCCTATCGAAATAAGGGTTGTCCATTTTAGTATTCATCAACAAGTCAGTGACATTTGCCATTTGAATGTTTGGCTTGTTTGTGTTTGGTGTACCCCAATTGTCTCTGATGATTCTAATTAAAAGTTTTCGTTTTGAGAAGTGGTCGGCAGACTTAGTAGTTGACCAATTAAGATTAGCTTCTACCTGATTAGAGTGAAAAACTTGCTCTCGTTTTTTGCAGTATAATCGAAAGTGTTTACATATGCTCTAAAAATGTACTCCGGTTTTTTGACCTGTGTAGATGACCAGCGTAGGTGACCAGTTTTTGTTTAGTATATAAACTCGACGTTTTCTTGACGGTAGAATCATCAGCTCAAGTGACTTTAATGAAAAAAAACAACTAAACCAATCACTAAAACTTAAAATGCTTCGAGTAAAATATTTAAAAAACTTTTAAAATTGAAAACTAATTTCTCACATTTTTTTCAGTTTGTCGTTCTCTCAGTTCTTGTGGCCTCTGCCATTGCTGGTTACGGCAACTACGGTAACTCCTATGGCTCTTATCTGAGTTACGGCCGGGCGCCAATTCAGGCTGCCATCCAGTCTCGTCGTTCTCTTTCAATCGTCGATGTTCCCTCGACTTACTCCTTGCCAACTCCCCTGAACATCGACGTTCCCGCTAGCACCTCTCCCCTGAACGTGCTCCTTCGCTCAGCCTCATCTCCGCTGAATGTGCAGACGCTCCATGAGGGAAGTGCCGGATCGTATGCCAGCTCTAGCTCGGTGGACGCCCCACACATTCGTTCGCACACTGTTCTCCGTCCCATTCAACAGCAAGTCACCGAAATTGTCCAGCCACAACGTTTCATTAAGCAGGAGGTACATTATTCTTTTCCTTTTGTTAGTTTGATATGCAAGCTAACTTTTTCCTTCTTTTTGCTCACAGGTACGCCCAACAGAGGAACGCATTGAGCAGGTTGTCGCCCGCGGTTATCAGCAGCCCCTGCTGCAGAAGTTTGCCTACGCTCCTCTTCGACTGGTTCAGCTGCAGCAGGCACCTCTGCTGAAGTCTGGTTATGGCTACTAAAAAGGAATCAATTTACCAAGCAATCTTTTGGCACTTTCCATATTCCACTTTTAACTTAGTTCCTTTTTGAACATATTATTTTGGTTTTCTAAATTCAATGGCACATGTTCCCTAAATAAAGTGTTGGCAATACAATTTAACTATTCAGTTCAAGTGTTGAATGTTTATTCATGTTAATTTATCTAAGCATTTGCATCAAGGTCATGATCAGCGTCAAGTTTTTTGTAAAATAAAACAATAATGAGATCAACATAAAAACTAAGCTAAAAATGAACTAACATTTGATAAAAATTTAAAAATTTTTTAAACAAGAAGTGGGGTTTTCCATCATTTTGGCAGATACTTGTAACATAAAAAATTTGTTTTTGACAAATTAGTCATAAGCCTTTTTAATTACTCGCTAATTAGCAAATTGATTTAATGATAAAAATGTTCCGAGCATTTTTTAGTTTTTAGTCGTTACAGCTAAAACTAATGACAAAATATTAAAAACTTGTCTATAACTTTTGTTTTATTTTCATTTTTTGAACTCTTTTTTTAAAAACAGGACACCCTGTACACTACAATTGCAAGCTGTACCTTTAAGTGAAAACAAACAACAGTCAACTATCACCAAAACGGGGTGCATTTGATTAAGACAAGAGGCTCAAACAAGCTTTGCACAAATTAAATAAATAGTTGAGCGAAAACAAGCGCTGATTTTACAGCACAGATAAACTGATGTTCAATTTCTGATAGCTTACATCTGTACTGCAAACGTACTGCATTCAGCAAACAAACTGATTTTTGGACAAGGATGAGAGGGGGTAAAAATGGAAAAATTAAATCAAATCATGAAAAGGGGTGAAACCTTCATTAAGGGTAGAAAGCAAAAAGGCATCTTCTTGTACGACTACTTTGCATAGTGTTCGTTGGAGTATATAAACAGCTGACGGTATTTGGATCAGCTCATCAGCTCAGCAGCAACAGACGCTACCATCTCACCCAAATCATGCTTCGAGTATGACTACCCTTTTGTGACTTTGAATTTTTAACTTGATTTTTTATTTTTCCTGCCACAGTTTGTCACTCTCGCAACTTTCCTTGCTGTCACTAGCGCTTACAGCTACGGTGGCTACGGATCAGGTGGCTATGGATCAGGAGGCTNAATTTTTTATTTTCCCTGCCACAGTTTGTCACTCTCGCAACTCTCCTTGCTGTCACTAGCGCTTACAGCTACGGCGGCTACGGATCAGGAGGCTACGGATCCGGTGGCTATGGGTCAGGTGGTTACGGTGGAGGAAGCTACGGTGGCGGCGTCGGAAGCTACATTACCGGAGCCGTTCAGTCAAGACGTTCAGTTTCCTATTACGATGTTCCCTCCACCTACGATTCATCTCCTGTCACCATTGATCTGCCATCAGGCGTGCAGCCACTCAACTTTATCATGAGATCTCGCTCATCTCCGATTAACATTCAAGTACGTATTCAAACAATAAATTTGTTTCTTGATCTGCGTTTTTATGCTATTATTTTTTAAATTTAAAAATTTTTTAGACTGTACATGAAGGTCAACCTGGCAGCTACGCCGAGACAAGCAGCGTTGATGAACCACACGTCAGAGTGCACAACGTGCAGAGATCATTAATTCATCAGGTTAATGAGCAAATAACACCCTATCGCCAGATTCGTCAACAGGTACTAATTTAATTACTATTTTACCTGATNACACCAGGTGAGAGATCGCAGTGGTTTTTATTATAATAAAACTTTTGTTTTGAAAAAAATAGGTGAACGAACAAATTACACCTTATCGCCAGATTCGTCAACAGGTACTAATTTAATTACTATTTTACCTGATTCTATTAGCCACCTTTAATTAATGAAACATTTTTTAGGTTCTGCCAGTTCAGGAATCGGTTGAACAGGTGATCGCCAGAGGAAACCAGGGAAGCTACGGAGGCAACCAAGGCTATGGCGGCTCTTACGGAGGTTATGGAGGTTCATCTTACGGCAACAGCAACTACGGTTACGGCGGCCAGACTGGATCTTACTACAAGTAAAGGACATTTTATTTAGATTGAAAAGGACTGAAGGGAACAACAACAACAAATGTGCCATACACTTCATTGATGACTACTATTCTCTTCTTATCATCAACTGCCAACCAACTTTTTATTCAATAAATATTGTGTCTACAAAATAAAACACTTGTACCATCTTTATTATTTTATGATTTTTTGAAAAACTATTCCAATAAACAATAATTACTTTTAATCAAAATGATATTTACTGATGAGAGTACCGATAGCAACAAAAGAAACATTTCCACTCGCTTAATAAACGCTTTTATCACCAAGCTCAGCAGTCAGTTCATCAATCAATTCAAAATTTTCCCTGCATAAATTAACGTTCTTCTTCCAACGCTTTGTACGAGAATTGTACTAGCAATTGCCAACAATAAATAACACCAGTTTACTTAACAAAAAAGAAAAGGAGGGTTCAAACATTCACTCAGGCCGCTCTTCAGGTTTGACACCTGAGAAAGTGGTAGCAGCACTCCACAAGGCAGATGAATGACACAGTGGCAATAAATCGCAGTCAGCAACAGGTGGTCTGCACAGTGACAGTGCAAGTGAAATTCTTATCGCTCGTCTGCAATCTTCTTCCTTTTTGCTTTCACTCGATCTAGTTTATTTTTATACCTTTCTCTGCTTTCTTTGTCGCACCTTTTCTATTTTTCACCTCCTTTCTCATCGTTCACCTTATCTCTGTCTAGGAAAACCCAATCTTTTCTTGAAGGGTAGTCGTCAGGCAGGTATTGCTCCTTTAAAGTAGGACAAAAAAGTCGATAAATGATGGTGTATATAAAGCAGTAGACGGTCAGCAGAAGGATCATCACTTTTTCGTTCATCACTTTCACCCCTCATCTTTAGCACAGAAGAATCATGCTTCGAGTGAGTTCTCTTGAGTTTTTCAGTATCAGTCATTCATTAACCACCACTCTTTTGTTTTAGTTTGTCGTTCTCAGCGCCCTCATTGCGACGGCCCTCGCTGGCGGATATAGCTCCGGAATGGGCAGCTTTGGCGGAAACAGCTACGGTGGCAGCAGCTTTGGCGGAAGTCGAGGATACGGTGGTGGTCTATCGGGCAACTTTGCCTCTTCTGGTTCATCAGGCTATGGATCAGGTTCCTTCGGTGGCTCAAACTACGGAGGCTCATCTTATGGAGGCTCATCCTACGGAGGCTCTTCCAACTACGGAGGCGTCATTACCGGAGCCGTTCAGTCAAGACGCTCAGTTAGTTATTACGATGTTCCCTCGACGTACTCTGACGCTTCTCCTGTGACCATTGACCTGCCGTCAGGCGTGCAGCCACTCACCTTCCGAATGAACTCAAGATCTTCTCCGATCAACATTGAGACTTCGCACGAGGGCCAGCCTGGCAGCTACCAGGAGACTTCATCCGTTGATGAGCCTCACGTCAGAGTGCACAACGTCCAGAGACCAATAGTACAGAAGATTCTGGAGACAATTCAGCCTTATCGTCAGATTCGTCAGGAGGTAAGTAAACTCAGAATTCTAATTAATTAAATTCTTTACTAATTAAAAACTTATCACTTTGTGCAGGTGCGACCAGTTCAGGAGTCGGTTGAGCAGGTGATCGCCCGTGGTCAGCCCCAGCAGTCGTACGGTGGAAGCTCGTATGGTTCTGGCGCATACAAGTCTGGCTCATACGGTGGCTCATCGAGCTTTGGCTCCAACCAAGGCTACGGTTCAGGATTCAGCCAGGGTGGTGGCTACGGAAATGCCGGCTACTAGATTAACACGTGGTCTCAGAAGTGATTTGTAGTGTATGATGTGATGATTACAATAAACATTAACTTCACGTTGTACAGTCTTGTGACAACTTAAACTTGGACGGCCTAAGCATTTATTAGAAATTTTCATATATTTGTATAATTGGAATTCAGATCAGTATGCCTCCAGCAGTATAAAATGAAATGCGCCTTAAAAAGTGTTAGAGTACAATCTTTTTGAGTTCGTTCGGATCAAGTGTCCAATGGTCATTTGCTTCCGCCCACGAGTACACCAGTGAGCACTCGTTCATCACTGACCAAGGCAGGGGAACTTCGTACTTCTTAAAGAGAAACCAAAATCGCGGAAAGGAGCGACGCAGCTGACTTGAAATCAATGGTTCGAGTGGTTGTAGAGCCTGTTCAATTGTCGCTGGAACGCAGAACGTTTCGGTGTGCACACACTTCATCATAAAGTATTTTGCAAAACGACTGTTGCTGAGTGGAGCAGTGCGCAGGCTTCGGTTTAACAGCTTCTCAAAGAGTCTTTTCAGAAGTTGATACTTGCCACAGGCCAAAATGACCTTTTCAGCTTTAGCGCCACCAATCTCCTGTTGAACATTTTTCACGTACCAGTCTTCGTACTCTTGAAAAGAGTCCTCATCATTGTTGTGGTGAAGCTCTCGATAAAAATGCAAAAATTCATGATACAAATCAGCGACTTGAATGCTGAGAAGGTGCACGTCAACAGTGCTCGCCAGCTCAATAGTTTCAAGCAGTGCCGAACTGCTTTTAGCTAACTTGTCAAATTCAGGCCGAAACTGGGGGTTTGAAAGCGTCGAGCTGACGTTTGTTTCATCAAAACGAAAGCTTCGCCAGAAAAGAATGCCTCGTTGAGCCTCGCTGAAATTGGCGCTGTAAAAAGAAGCAGAGCGGTAGAAGGATTCCGGTGGTATTGCCGTTTCCGAAGAAAAACGCATATACTTGGCACGAAATGTTTCCGAGATTGCCCACTGCATGCGTACAACGTCGATCACTTTACAGGCAAGATGGTGATTTTTACGAATGTCACTTTCGATAGAGTGCATTAGCAAGTGAGCGTTTTGTGCAAACACGAGACGTGAGAGTTCAGTGTATTGGTTTCCAAGATTTCGAAATAGATCGTCAAATAGAAGGTCACCATCTGCTATGATATACTTCAAATGGGCGAAAGCCTGGGACAGGTGGTTCCCGTTAGGCCAAAGTAGTTTCTAATTGAAACAAATAAAACAAAGTAAAAAATAAGTAAATCAAATAGAAACGCCTGTCATTTACGAACCAGTGTGTCCATGAAAATGTCCTCAAATAGATCGTCTGAAATGATGTCACCTTGGTGTTCAAGCAAACGAACACTTTTCAAAAGATATTTTTTTGGAGGTTTCGTTTGACGCTTAGGGCATATGAAGCCAACTATAATGAAGAGAAAGTGTCCAAATTGAATCTTGTTTTTAGAAGTTCTTTTTCGAAGCGTGATCAAATCTCCAAGCTCTATCTCTTCTGTTGTGAAAGCAAGAAAGATATCTCCACCATATTGATCAACTTCTGTGCGAATCTTTGCGAGACGATCTTCGTAAAGTTGTGGTAGGTACATTGTAATCATTTCCTCTAGTGAAGGCGAACTTCTGACAATTTTTACATGCAAGTACTGCTGGGAAATGCGGTCTGTTTGCGTGATCGGTAGAACATGAGAAAAGTAGTAAGCGAAAAGGTGTTTGAACACTTCATCAGCTGAATCCAGATGACTGAGAGACTTGCAGAAAGCTTCTGTTTTGGTAAACAATGTTCTAAATGGGTGGAAATCCCAAAATCGACTCCCGGTAACGTCTTTGAGCTTGAAATATTCGCGAACACCCGTCAACATTGAGGTTTCATTTGACGCGGAAAGCTTGTAGTCACTGAACACTTGAACTGAAACTTCTTCAGATGGTCTAGTCGTCGAAGCAATGGAATCATCCATGATCATCATCCAGAAGTCAACGGAACTCTTGGCACAATTTGTCTAGAACCAAGAATGATAGAAATGAAGAAAATAGAATCAGAAAGCAGTGACTGTGAATTTAGCTGTAAAGCATCATCGATGATTCATCACCACACTGTTGCTATAGACTTTTTTTTTAAAAACAGAGCGCCAACTTTGTAGTGTAAGAAATTGAATTGAGTCGTAAGATTAATATTGACAGATAAAACGGTAACATTTGCAGGTTTCTAATCAAACCTTATCAGGCAAAAGTTTTCCATCCACAAAAATGCGTGATTAGATTTATTATTAATTTATTTAATTTGGTCACAGTTTTCTCATTTACATCAAACCTTTCCCTAAACTACTAAACTTTTATACCTAAACGACAACTAAAAGCTATGAATTTAGGCAATTTCCTCTTCTTAGCCTGTGCCTGCATAGTCCCCTCTACCTGGGCACTCGCCCGGCTACCGAGTGCGGAGACTCAGCAGGCGTTAGAGCGACACCTTCGTCACTTTGCCACTGTGCACCATATTCCCTGTTTTGTGGCTGGATACCAGGTCTATACGGCACCGGAGCACCACCAGAGATGGACTTTCAACAGTGACGGCTTTGCAAATGTGGAAAACTCCGTCAAGTGCTCGAAGGAGACAATGCTGCGCGTGGCAAGCGTGAGCAAAGCCGTCGGCTCGGCGCTGATCGGTAGCCTCGTGGAGCAGGGCAAGCTACACTGGGATGATGACATTCACAAGTACGTGCCGGAGAGGATTTTTCCAAAGAAGACTTGGCAAGGTGAGGTGGCCCATCAAGCAAAGTGTAATCAGTTTTGAAAAATATCATTTCTTTGCAGGTTCTCATGTTTCCATTACTTTACGTCATCTGATCAGTCACCTGGCTGGACTTCGACAGACTACCGATGCCGACTTACTTCACGAATACCATCTCCACTTAGTAAACAGCACCCAAACGGTGGCTTGGTTTTCTAACGAGCCACTGCTTTCAAAGGTTTGCCAAATCTAATAATGTTTAAAACCCTTTTGTTTTGGCAATTTTCAAACGTTTCTTTATATCAGCCTGGTACAAAGTTCAAATACTCAAATGCCGGATGGAGTTTGCTTGCTGCTGCTGTGGAAGCAGTTGAAGGTGCACCTTATCATAAAGTTCTAAATGATTTTCTGCGGAAAATGGGCATGAAGAAAGCTCAACAAGATGACCGAAGAGAGGTTATTGAAAATCGGGGATTACAGTATTCGAGTACTGTCAATGAGAAGGGCGTATTTCACCTTCATCCTGCACCAATTACCGATCACCTACGTCCATTTCCTTTTTGGCCAGCTGCAGGTAAACGGTTGTCGATTTTGTTTAAGACAAAATTCACAAGTGTTTGCTTCTTTCTTTTGCCAGGTATCATCTCTACAGTTGAAGACCTGTTGATCTTTGGCGGTAGCGTTCTTCGATCTGCAAACTCTTGGTCAGGTGGTCACCTGAAACCGGCCACAGTTCACGATCTTTGGAGCTTTAGCCCGAAAGTGGCTGAAGGAAACCAGTCAATGACGATTGAAGGTCACCACTACAGTGTGCCTCACCACTATGCACTTGGCTGGTACCGTTTGGTCTTCCCAGCAACCACATCGGACTCAAAGCTTGCTCACCTTGAGATGCTGTACCACGTGGGCAATGTGGGCGGTGCAAACTCTATTTTGGCGGTTCTTCCAAAGGAGAACGTCGTCCTTGCAGCAATTTCCAATCTAGGTGGCATCAAACAGTATATGCCAGAAATTGCCGTTGAGATGTACCGCATTTTGCGGCAGTAGACAATTATCAGCATGTGATGATCGTTTTTTGTTCTTGTCACAGATAAAATGTAAACCGCCTGCATCCACAGCAAGTATTTCCAGTGAGATTATCTGTTAACAAAACTACATCTAAACAGAAATCGTAAACTTTATGCTCACTTTATGCCCCAATAAAATTTCTGCCAAACTACAAATGTAAACTTTAAATGTCACTTGCAAAGCCATTACCGTTTTCATTCAATCGTGTTCCTTTCAATTGTCTAACTGCTGTGTGCAATCATGAGTGCTGTGCGAACATTTTTTCTCTTTTGTGCTCTTTCTCTTTTGGTGGCAGTAAAAGCAGAAAATGAGCCCATCAACTTGACGCTGTTCTACGAAACACTGTGTCCTGACACCCAAAAGTTTGTCCTCGACGAGCTAGTGCCCACCTACAAGAGCGCTCTTCAGTCAAAGTTGATATTAAAACTGGTTCCTTTTGGAAATGCAAAGTTTGTCGCTGATGGTAACGGCCACACAAATGTTGAGTGTCAACACGGAAAAGAAGAGTGCTATGGAAACCGTGTGCAAGCCTGCTTCATCGTAAAGTACAGCCCTACCATAAGTCAAAGTCTCGATTATGTAAAGTGCATGTTTGAGAAGGAGGATTGGAAGTCAACGAGCAACACTTCAGTTAAATGTGCCAATGAACTTTCTCTCAATTGGACAGCCATAAAGCAGTGCACAGACTCGGATGAAGGGGAAAAGCTGATTGAGGTCTTTGGAAACCAGACACAGAGTCTGGTGCCAAAGGTAAACTGGATTCCCTGGATAACAATCAACGGCCAGCATGACGATAAAATGCGTTTTGAAGCACTTTTTGGTTTGAAAACTTATCTTTGTAGTAATCACTTTAACAATCAGACGCTGGATGCTTGTAAAAGTGGATCTGCAAAAGTGGTTTTTAGCTTTGTTGTTTTAGCGTTAGTGATGACAACTCGCCTGTTCTTGTGGTAAAAACAACGTCAAATAATAAAACTATTAGTTTATCCAAGTAATAGATCTATAAAATTTATAAATTTTATAAAATCACACACCATGTTTTGCCGGTTTTGATAGGCTTGTGGTTTTGATAAACTGATATCAAATCATTAAAATCAGTAGACAGCAACACTGTTGATTGTTGTCGTTTAAGATTCAAACTAGTTGTAAAGCTGTCCTCCGGTAAAGTGTACCTTTCTGGTGACAACGATG